CATTCTCTCAGGAATTCATTGTATTTAAAGTACATATATATTTTTACTCTTTTCGTCCTGTGAGCACTCAAATGGACTCTTTTAACAAGCCCATTATGGATTTCTTGTCCCACAGAATGATAAGCTACAACCTTGACCGCTCGGCCATCCGTCCGTTTACATTCGTATTGAAGTGAGTTTTTAACTACCTGAATGTAAATTTTATAATTCAATTATATTTCTGATATTTTCATAATTTTATATTCTTTTAACAAATTTTAAAAATATTAGAAATATTAAATAAGTAAAATATAGATGATTTAAAATTCCTGTGAACTATATCACAAATAATAGTCTATAACATAATATTAAACAATATACACTATAAAACGACAGTAATAATGCTCTAAATAGAAAACTTAAAAGAGTTTTTCTTTAATATAGATCAAGACATCTTAAACTTTTTCATTCGCGACCGTTTTTTAGCAGAGAAAATTTTACACACGACTCCCGTTATATAGGTATGTAAAATAGATATACAAATAAAATCACTTACTGACAATAAGTCATAAAACAATTTATTTCAAAACGATTCTTTGACATACAGTACAAATTATTTTACCATTTATTATCATTTATTAAAGACGAAAGCAAACTGCATACTGATAACATGCATGTCCTTGTTTACGTTTACATAAGAAAGTTAAATCTTGGCCGACTGTTCAATAATGCAGAACGCAGGACCTCCACAACGTTTTTTCGAGTTGACCAACATTTCGATTTCATAATCGTCAATGCTAAAAACGCTGCTTCATTTAAATACATAGCATAAAATTTTACTGTTATCAAATTTTTGTGACCCTCATATTTAATTACCCCTACTTTGGGGTCTCGACTTTGTTTAAGAAGTACCTGATACATATGGTAAGATCCAAAAGTTCGGGGACCTGGAGTATAGTTTCTTGTCTTGAATAGTTGAAACTATCGACTCACAATCACCTTCAAAAGAATCCCTTTGGGTGACGATACGCTTTTTCCAGCGGTCGTACAGCTTCTGGAAGCATTGCTGCAACATTTTCTAATGCTTGATGCAATGCTGCTCTTACTTCGTTTGATGACTCAAAACGATGCCCATGTACAGTACCTATTTCATCAGTGAAAGGGGGTGAATCGCAAGTGGCTAAGTCGGGAGAATAGGCGAGATATGGAAGTACAGTATATTATTTCTGTCATGGAGAAATTCTGACCATTATGGATCAATATGCAGGCACGTTGTCGTGGAGATAATTGTCAGGGAGAAGATACCGTTATCCATTTCGTCACTTATCTGGACATTTTATATCGTTTGTAAGTCCATCAGCCATAACTAGCCTGAGATGTGACGAAGTGGACAATGGTATCTTCTCCATAATAATTTTTTTCTATTATTTCCACGACAACGTGCCTGCATATTGGTCCATAAAGGTTACAGAATTTCTCTCTAGAAATAATGTGTTTTCACATTCTGTCTATTTATCCGACTTAGCCACTTGCGCTTATACCGCTTTCCACTTATGAAAAATCTGCATGGGCATTATTTTGAATCTGAAATGAAGTAAAGAAGCATTGTAACAGGCATTAAAAAATGTTGCAAAAGATGACTTGCAGCAATGCTTCCAGAAGCTGTACGACCGCTGGCAAAGTGTATCGTTGCCCAAAGGGATTCTTTTGAAGGTGGTTGTGCGTCGATAGTTTAAACTATTCAAAGCAAGAAACTATACGTCAGGTCCCCAAACTTTTGGATTCTACCATGTAGATAACTGTAGTATTAATCAAATAATATGTTAATTGTTTTTGTGCAATTTAAAGTTATATGTTAAATATGTGAAAAGTATAAATCGATAATATATATGTAAATAAAAAGTCATTTAATGATTACATCGACAAATCTACATAAGAATAGTAAAATCAATTGTAAACAGTAATTACAGAAAATTTCGACTTTTCATTGTAAAAATTTTCATTTTTTAATATTTGATATTTCAATTTCTTAGTTAATTGCTTAAGGCTTAATATAATGCTACATTCTTAAACTTGAACGTTTATATTTATATATTTATTATTGAGAAGTCATTAGTACCGAACAACTACTGGTATCGAACAGTGTCGTTATCTGGCAATGGGCGCAAGAATGGACCACTAGACAGTCATCTGTTTTTAGCTTCATTTAAGGAAGACATAGAATTGCTACCTCGTATATTGGAAGTTCCGGTTATATTGTTTGGGAGCTGTGAGACATTTTGTTGTTTTTACGGTGTAATCAAATGCTGCTAGATAACTTTGTATAGCTGTTTCATAAATAAGAGAAAAGGAAAGGTTAAGTGTTATTATTTCTGGTGATAGAAATGCACATAGTGTGTAAACACGCCATAAAACATTAATGTGCAATTATCGCATTTGTTCAGTGATACATTTTTATGTCGCGTGACGGTTGGATAATATCAGATAGTCAATCCTTTGACAATTTTGAAGTATAATAATAATTCTGTTAATTGTTTCTGGTGAAGATAAAGAGAAGACGTCTGATGGAAAAGCAAGAACAGTAAATAGATGGAGGAAGACATGAAAGTAGCAATTGAAAGTGTTGTAAGTGATAAGGAGTGTGAGTATACGTAAAGCAATTGAACAGTTTTCGCCAAGAACATACTATGTAATAAACTGAAATTGATTTCCAAAACAGAAGAGACGAAAATCAAACCAGTCATGGGAACATTTAAGAATATTTTTCCGAAGAGCAAGAGGAACAATTTTACAGCCATTTTAAACAATTGGATAACTTGCTCATGCCACTAAGCAGGAAAGAAATTGCCTAAATTGGAATTTAAGTTTGCAAAACATTTACAATTAAGCAATTGATTTAACAAGAAAGATCGTTCAGCTGGTAAAGACTTCAACTATCATTTCGTGAACAAAAATTTGGAAGAATGAGACTGTCCGATATATCCGCTAATTTTTGAAATGTTAAAAATGTAACATGTTGCAAAAGTCGAAATTACATATATTTATTATAATTGTTTTCCCATAGGCTTCTGTCATTAGACTTTCTTGGCTTTTTCGGGAAACATAACAAGAAAAAGTATTGAAATCGTGTCTACTTTGACCATCTGAGATTTTATTTGCAAATCTCCACGTTTTGAGAAATCGTGAATCCAAAGAAGTAAAAAAAAAAACGGCAAAAAAAAATTCTGTGGATTTCTGTGTGTTGGCGTCTATTTCGTTTTATATCTCAGCATGGGGTAAATATTAAGAAACGAAATTTGGCATGGTAACCTATATATAAGAAATATTGATGGTATTAAATTTTGAGGATTAAAGGTCGAGGGGATGAGAAAATAGAGGAACTCATGTGTCATATCTCCAGAGGGATGGGACTTAATGATTTTACTCGTTATTATCATTTACAATTTTTTAAACCTCATCACTGCCCTTAAAATTAAGCTTTTGCCATTTAATAATAATTAACTACATTAAATTTTTTTACAACAAAATCTCATAACAGATGGCGCCATACACTATTTTGCTTATTATGATTAATAATATGAAAGCAAAAATTATTTTACAAGTAAAATCTCAAAAGAACCGGAAAAGTTAAGCAACTTGTTGTTGAATTTTTTAACCAAAGGTCAGTTTCCAAACCTGGCACCATCATTTTCCACCAAACCACAAACTTGTACCTCCAAAAAACGTAGTGACCAGTACTGCACGACTTTCTCTTATATAAATACTATTTATTTTACATATAAATAAATATATATCGCATTATAATATTTTTGTTCAGTAGTTATCATGAGATTAATTAAGAAAAGGATTTATATAAATTAAAAAATTTACTGTATTACAAAAGAGAGTATGATACTGTGTAGATGATCAAAATATAATAATTTTTATGTGATAATATGATAAATAAAGTGCTTCATATTTCATAAAATATTTTATCATCGAACCTAGATTAATTTACATTAAAATATATACAGTATATATATTATTAGATCAAGGCGTATTTGAAATTCTGACAGCGTGGTAACGTAATACTTCGCAAGAAAGAATATGATTGAATACTGCTCTATAGATTATCGAGTTTCGAGTTGGCTGTGTAACTTTACCAATTCAAATTTGAATGTGACAATATGCTTATCTATAAATTCACGTGCATGAAAAGAATTTCTTATTTTTGTCTTTTTTTTACTTTTTATTGATTTATAAAATATCTATCTCAAGTATTTTCGTTGTAACTAGTCACTATAAATGACTTTTATCGCGTTAATAACACGTGAAATTAATTAATGAAAATTGTTTGATTACTATTTTCAATTTAATTTTTTAAATATATGTTTTTTATACGATTTTTGTTAGCTTGCCATTTCTTTTTTTATTATTAAATAAAATGGGAGAAATAAACTAACTCGACAGCTTGATTAATACTATTCCGGCTGTTATATATAACAGAGGGAAAGTATGGCGATCCGGCAAAGAATGGCCCCCCTTCAGATTTTTACATTTTTGGACTCGGGAAACCTTGAAACGTAGAGAAATGCATAAAATTTGGTTTTTTTTTTTCCTGCATGTATGAATGTTAATGTGTGTGTGTGTGCGCGTGTGGAGAAACGATTTTGTTCATCCTGTTTGAAGTGTAATAGATCCAGCCTCATCTCGACGACTTTAGGATTCCGAGCCGAATGCTCCCCGACGAGTCGGTAAGTAGTTTTTAGTACTTCTCTCTGTCCTATCCCTCTTCCTACTTCCGCTGGAAGGGCGGCCTGCACTGTTTAAACGCACAGTGTATTCGCTGCCTGACCAGCAACCACTTTCCTGTCGCGGCGTGACCACTTGTCACGACGCAACGTATACTTCTTCTGCTTCCCAGGCTTGCCTGAGTAGTAGATCTCTCTCCTCTTCCCCGCCCCTCCTTGGTCGGCTGCTTCGGCACCCCAGGGGGCATTTCCACTCTATTTCACCTTCCTTCCATACTGCACATTTGGTCTATGGCCTCCACCGGCGACTGTACGGAAGTCACCCTTCTTGTGCCTTTGCGCCCTCCGTACCACTGCCCACCATGTATGCCATATTATCGAGATTACGTCGACCACGGCGGCCTAGCCCGGCACCTCCGCCGCGGCCACAGAGGCAAATTGAACTTTGAATGTCGTGCTTGCGATAAACGCTCCGACAAGCTCAAAGAAATAAAGCTTCACCAGTCTAAGTCCACAAGCTGCTCCAGCCAGATACCGACCATCTCGCCTAACAGCACCAGGGACCCAAAGCAACGCCAACGTGTACCCGTCGACCCTACCAGGCTACGACCCTACCGGTCAACACGCAGACGGAATGCAGCCTGCCCAGCCCCCCAGGACAGCAGCTGCATCGACGCCGACCACAGTCCGCCTCTGTCGCCAACCAACAACCAAGTAGCCAACCCTACTCCTGGTCAATCCAGCTCCCTGGCGTGCCCTGACGACACATCTGTCACCCCTCGTGACACCGGCAGCGACATCACTCCACCGCTCATCAGACGTCCTCGCCGCCGCCGCCATCGTCGCCCTTCCACACAAGTTCCTGCTGCTGTTACAGGCTCCGGTACCCCTCCTGGCACCAACACCACCACCAATGCCAGCCCTACTGTCGACGCCACTCCTTCAAACGAGCCAGCCACCCAACCGCCGGCCGCTGTCGACCCCATATGCCAGCCAGTCACTACCACCTACTCTGACAACCAGCCCGCCACAATGGCCGCCTCTCCAGATGCCAGCCAACCTGCCGCCAGCACCACTGCCAGCCCCCCACAGTGGGTCACCGCCTGGTGCGAGCGTTTTGACTGTGCCATCGACGAAGACATGCTGGAAGTCATGGTGAATGACCTCACCTACCTGGCCCAACGCATGTCCCCTCGACAGCCAACACAAACCAACAACTACCAACGTCAACCTCGTCATCCTACTGGCCAGCGCAACAATGCCAACAGGCCCCGCAGGTACAACGCCGCCGAAGCAAGCAGAGTCCAGCGGCTCTACCGTGCCAATAAAAGAAAGGCCTTTGAAGAAATCACAAGAGGCACCAGCAGATTCTGCCAGATCGGTAAGTCCGCTCTCACTGATCACTTTAATGCCATTAACAGCCAACCTTCCGGGGACTCGGGACCCACCAGTGACCAGCTGCCACCACCCCTCCAACCAACGAGCGACGACCCCCTCAACTGCACCTTCACCCCTGTTGAGGTCTCGTCTAAACTCGCCAAATGCCACAACACAGCGCCGGGCCCTGATGGCGTCCGCTACTACACCTGGAGACGTCTCGACCCTCAGGGCCACATCCTTGCATTGCTGTTTAACGCTGTCCACCGCATTGGAGCCATCCCATCGGCATGGAGAACCTCGACCACAATCCTCCTCCACAAGAAGGGCAGTCACGACGACGTCCGCAACTGGCGTCCTATCGCTTTAGCAAACACCCTTGGTAAGATCTACGCCGCCTGCATCGCTAATCGCCTCCTGCGCTGGTGTGAAGAGAATAACACCATTTCCACCGCGCAGAAAGGCTTTATGCGATTTGAGGGCTGTTCCGAGCACACATTTGTGCTCCAATCCATCATTCAGGACGCCCGGCGTAGAAACAAAGAGTGCCACGTGGCGTGGTTGGACCTTGCCAATGCCTTTGGCTCGGTCCCACACTCCACCATCCTCTCCTGCCTAAAGTGGTGTGTCCTCGGCCCGCAGTCCATCTACCGTATCCAGCAACTCCTATCTGGCTGCCATACCCACATCTGTTCCTGTACCGGACTTACGGACCCCATTCCCATCCTTGCAGGGGTCAAACAGGGCTGCCCCCTCAGCCCTATTCTTTTTAACATCGTCGTGGAGCCAGCCCTCCGTCTGCTGTCCGGCCTACAAGTTGGATATTCCCTACATGGCAACTCTGTCTCGGCACTTGCCTATGCCGATGATATAACCATCGCCGGCGCCACAAGATCCGGACTACAATCACAACTGGACCTACTGTCTTCCTGGGCCCAACATAGTGGCCTCTCCTTCAACGCCACTAAATGTGCCACCTTGTCTGTAGCAAACAAATATCACTGCTCTAACAGCTCCTCCAGCTTCAAAATACAAGAAGCCTGCATCCCGCAGCTCAAAAAGGAAGACCACTACTCCCATCTCGGTATACCAACTGGTTTTACCGTAGGCACAACAGCTGAATCAGTTATAGATGGCATCCACAAGGACCTCAGACTCGTGGACACCTCATGCCTCGCCCCGTGGCAGAAGATTGACTGTGTCAATACCTTCCTACTGCCACGATTAACATTCCATCTCACCCTGGGCAACACACCAAAAAAACGCCTCAACGACCTGGATAAAACAGTTAAACGCTGCATCAAACGCTGGATGCACCTGCCTCAACGCGCCTCACCTGAAATCATCTACATGCCCAACTGTCAAGGCGGGGCCAACGTAACACCGTGCGGCATCCTCGCCGACATTGCACAGGTGAGTCACGCCACTAACCTTTTCTTATCCAGAGACCCCACCATCTCCAACCTTGCCACCAAGACGCTCGAGAAAGTCGTGGAGAAGCACATAAGACGGAAACCCACCGGCCAAGACCTATGCACATACCTCACCGGGTCCATGGAGAACGAGTTTGGGAGCGACCCATACGACGTCCCCTCCCTCTGGACCCGCCTAAGAATGGCAACACGAAGACTGAGAAACCGGATCGATCTCAACTGGCATCCAAATGAAGATGGTACCCTCACCCCCTCTATTGATGGTAAGCCTATCAACAAACCAACGGCATTCAGCATCATCTCAACGGCCGTCAAGACCACCTTCCTCGGCTCCCTCCTTCGAAAGCCCGACCAGGGAAAGGTCTTCAAGCTTACCGCTACCAACAAAGACAGCAACCACTTCTTGCACGATGGAAACTACATCAGATTCGCTGATTGGCGATTCATCCATCGTGCGAGACTTAGTGTCGTCCCTCTCCGTGGCCTTCGTCGCTTCGGAAACACCACCCAACGATGCCGTAGATGTCAGCGCCACCGTGAGACACTTGCCCACGTGATCAACCACTGCCCGCCAAACCTCAGCCAGATCACGAAGCGGCATAACGCGATCCTCAACAGACTTATCAACGCCATCGACCGTAGAAACCTAAGGATCTACACGAATCAACAGATTCCCGACTTCCACAGCACGTGCCGTCCAGACCTGGTGGTAATAAACAACAACCCTAAAACAGCGACTATCGTCGATATTGCCACCCCATTCGAAAACGACGAGGACGCTTTCAACCGTGCCAGAGAAGAAAAGATCCGCAAATACAACGACCTCGCAGCCCACTACAGACACAAGGGCTACGACACTTACATCGACGCCTTCATTGTCGGGGCCTTGGGGGGCTACGACGCCGCCAATGAAGGTGTCATTCAGCGATTAGGCATCTCCCGGAACTATGCCAAACTTATGAGACGCCTAATGGTAAGCGACTGCGTAAAGGCCAGCAGAGACATTTATACCAATCATCTTGGCCCTCGCTACCAGAACTGAACTGCAATCTACAAACTCTACTTCGTCCGCTGTATTGTAAATCGTCGGCTCTATGCCCATGTAAACGCGTACTCCGATCTACTCTGTAAATTTGACAGGCTACGAGCCCATGGAACGCGACCAAATCCATTGTAATATAGCAGGCTATGTGCCCATGGACCGCGTCAGGGGCTCTGCCCCACTTACATACCTACCTTTTACCCACTTATACTCTCACTTGCCGGCCAAATGTGCCCATGTTAATACTCACTACCTAACCGGTATTTATCTTGTAAATATTTTATTGATATCAATAAATGGTTTTTAGCTCTGTGAGATATGCAGTGGGTCACTGGTTAAGTCTGCCAATTGACCACTTACTCTGCACAGGCTGGTAAAACCCGATCTCGGGGTCTGTTGGATGGCTAGGAGGGCAAATTCGAATGGGGAGTGCGTCGGAAAGTCGGCAGGCGTCCTTAATTGACAGGAGACAGGTCAACAGAATAACAAGCATTTATTAATTAATAACACTGAGTTACAAAAATACTAAAGCTAAATGCTATTATATTAAGTATTTACAGAAATTGGCGATTACGTTCTTAGCTATGTCGCTGCCCTAGTTTCTAGTTTAGAGAGAGAGCGCTTTTATAAAATCTAACCCCTAAATACCTCTAGGTGGAAGGGAGAGTTGGCGAACGTCGTCTGTATGGAAGGGTGTGGTGTCTTCTATGTCTTCTCGACGGGATCACAGTCCTTGGCATGGAGATCGACGAACACAAGTACTAAGAATACCTTCCGTGTGCGGACACCCTGAGCTTCCGGTGATCTCCCCTTTTATATCTTTTTGTGCGAGAGCTGACACGTCATCGACTCTTGTTGACGATGACGGTGCATTCTTCACACTTAAATGTAAACTTCCTCAGCTAGTTGTTACACAAACAATGAAATCCGATATAGTTTAAATTCCTCGGGTTTTTTCCGAAGTCAATTAACAGAAAATTTAGAATTTTAAAACGCCCGAAAAATCCGCGAGCTCACAAATAACTCTTATGCTTTTCGTCGAAAATTTCTGAAATTTGGCAGGGAGGTTTGTTTATTAGGGGTATTGATGCTGTTAAATTTTGGTAATTTAAAAAAAAAATCGAGGGGTGAGTTGATAAAAATGTGTCGTGAGTCATATCTCGACTAGGGCCGGACTTAATGACAATTTTACTCGTTATTAGCATTTACAATTTTTTATAAAAACCCATCTCTACCCTCAAAATTAAGTTTTTTGCCATTTTATAACAGTTAAAAATACAAAAAGTTTTAAAATAAAATATCATAACAGATGACTCCACCAAATGTTGCTTGTTCGTGGTAATTTTTACCGTTCTTCTTAAAACATTTGATGTTGCACAATTTTTACATTTGACTTATTTCATTTAAATACTCATGTAAACGTTCACTATACAATATTCAACCTTCTTCTCTTAATCTGTGACTATTTTCTTATTTTATATGTAATTTTGTTTTATCTTATTAATATTTTTTCCGCTTAATTGTTTGTTATATGTATATTTTTTCTTTTGTTATAGCTTTTAAGGATGTTTATTATTATTGTTTTTTATTTGGAGGAGGAAATTAGTTCTCCAGTGACATTTCGTATTCTATTTGTAAAAATATTTTAAAATATTAAATTATTAATATATTTTCTAGATTTTTTGCTTTGACCAGTCTTCGATCTGTTATGGATTTTAATGTTATCAAGAGATGGCTTTTTTAAGGTATAAGACCTTTATCTTAGACTTTCTTTGTGGTACTTTTGTGATGCGAAGATTAAACTACTTAGCAGTGTATGAACTTTGTCATATATCTATATCTTCTATAGGCCAGTCTGCTTGTTATTTAATAAATTAATGAAAACATGAACGAAGCCCACATATTACCTATTTTATAACATAATTCCTATACAGAGATTGTGCAAAAACAGGGATGAAAAAAATGCATATTTTTTCAAATTTGTAACAATTCTTTATGGACAATATTAGTTTTATATATATTATTTACAGTTATTCGATCTATATATATAATTTTAATAAGAATAATTCAATTAATCAATAAATCAATTTTAAAAAAAAAAACGTTTTAACTTAAAGTAACGAAGAGTAAATTAGTAGCTATAAATTTTCTCAAAAGTAGAGACCTCGTAGACCATTTTGTTTCGCAGACATCAAAGGTTAAACTTTGACGTCTCTTAGGACAAAATATTTGATTTTTCGAGATTTTGGATTCTTCTGGTAATCTACTGGAACTACTTTTTTCAATGGACCATTTACTTTTTCGATAATACACGAGTTATTTTAATATCCTTCCTTTCAACATTTTAAGCCAGTGAATGAATGAATTTGGCCAATATATATTTTTAATAGAAAGAAAGAATAAAACAGCATATACATATAGGGAATTTATAATTAATAATTATTATAGAGATAAATAAATTTATTATTTGATTTTGTATAAAATGCTTCATATTTCAAATATTAATTATTAGTATATAATAGTTAATTATTAATAAGAGAAAGGCGAAGAGTATTTCCAATTATTTGAAGTTAAAAAATATCAATAATAATGATTTTATTAATTTAAATTCTATTAAAAAGTATTATATGTTTAAAATTATTTGCTCTCTTAATGAATGTTCAATACTAATATATTTGTCTTTATACTGTATTTTAACAGACTAAATTTCATATAATGATTAATTATTGTTTGAAAATTAGCTTAATCAGTTAAAACTTATTTATTTCTTTTATAATAAATATTCATAGATATTAATTTGAACAAAATATAATTTAAATTCCCATAACTTCAGCTAGCTAGCTTTAAAAATATATTTCCTTAAAGATAAAAGATTTTATTGTTATTTATATTATTCAAAATTCGATGATATTATATTTTAAATTATGAAATTGGTAATGAAACATTATACAGTAATATGCTACAGTTGGGATTTGCCTACCAATAAAGNGTTCTAGAAACAATAGAAAGTTGTAAGAAAGAAAAAAAAAAAAAAAAAAACTATTCTTTTTGCATCATAGTAATAACATACAGCTTTTTATTATTATTGTTTCAATTCTCGCACTAGAGAATTTGTTCTCTTCGATTTTATTGAATTTTTCAAAAAATATTATATTTGAGGCAGAGCTTTAGCAAAGCCTTTTCTTCGTGACTTAGAGCATTGTGTTCGTTCTCAAAATCTGTTCGATCGATTTTGATTAAGCTTTGCCATTTTCCATTAATTGAGACAAGGAATCCAAAAATGTAATAAAAAAATAAAAGTCCGTGACTTCGTTTTCGAGATATAAGGTCGTAGCAAGAGCGCGCGCGACAAAGCGATATCGATTTAATTGCTCACTTAGTCGTAAAATGTTCCGCAGTCGCTAGCACGCCTTCTATGAGCTTATAGAATTGAGTTCGTTCAATTCTATAAGCTCATAGAATCAAACATTTCTCTACCGCGATACGACAAAGTCGCGCTATGTCCTAGTTAAAAGATAAAAATACAGAGAAGCCCGTTTAAAAGAGAACGCAATGACACTGGTCAGACTTTCATGAAGACATAGAACCACCATTTTCCAGAAATTACGAGACATATTCGGAAAGTAAAGTTAAATGGCCAGTAGAAATCCGAGAAAACATATTTTTTCACCGATTTCTGCACTTCCATGTCTGTTATAGTCTGAATTATGTGACAGAAGTCACTCGACTTTAATTGCATCATCGTTATGCTTACAATATGTGTTTAAAATGACCATATAAATTTATAATCCCGCCAACTGCGAAATTCGTTCAGTGATTGGATTCCTTTACACGAAAGGAGAAACTGCCACTGATATTAATCGGAAATTTGTTTCCGTTTATGGCAAAAATGTTATGGATAGGCAACACCTGACAAAATAGTATCCTACTGAGCGATACCGCCCGTCCACACACTGCTCGCGTTATACAAGAATTGTTGCAGACATTCGAGTGGAAAGTTTTAGAACATCCATCACAATGCCCAGATCTTGCATCAAGAGATTATCGCTTGTTTCCGAAGTTGAAGGAGCAACTCTCTGAAAACAAATTTTCTGACAACGATGTGAACCTCATCGTTACAGGGGATACGGGAACGACTTGATCACGAGAGCGGGCGGGAGATTTCCATGACGTCAGCATCGAGAAACTCATTTTCTAGCACATCAAATGCATTGAAGTCTGTGATAACTACATTGAAAAATAAATAAATACATGTTATAAACTTATTATTAGTCACTCTAAAATTAAAATTTTTTAGAAATGTTTTCTAGACTCTGTATCTTTACTAATGTGCCTCGCAAGTTGCTTGAAGAACTGTTTTCTTGTGTCTTATTAACAGACAATTTCAATTGTTTGATGATTTAATATGCAGTTTTTTATGCTAATTCCACTATATGTAGCGAAATTTAATTTGCTTTCACAAGTATTTCACATTTTAGGAGTTTTAAAAATATCATTCAGTTTATTTATATGACCATCCCTTATAATAATAGTTGCAAATTAGTCATACTGAAGAAAGTTAACTTGTTCATTTGTCTAAAATGCTTAAAATAATGCAAACACAAAAATTATTTTAATTCATTGTCATTTTCATTAAAAATAAAAAAATGATTATTTGTTTCTTAAAACAATATTTTTTGTTTTAAAAAATTTTAATTATAGTGAAGAAACAGTTACTGTATTTCATTTTTTTTGTTTTAAAAGACTGCACTTATAATGAAGAAACAGTTACTGTATTTCATTTTAATTGACTTTAAAGACTGCACTTATTATTGATTAATATTTGAAAAATTTTATTTTAAGAGGGAAGGGAAATTGGTGGCCATATTAACTTCATATGCTTTTAATATGGTACAAAGTTAGACTATTGGAAATTCAACTTTTTTATAGTTTCGAATGAATGAAATGTCTGAGTATTATCTCATTACCAAAGAACTAAAGTACATTGCCCCATAAAGTGT